ACCCTTCAGTGCACGATTAATCCGCAAATTTGCGCTATGATCGCACGTGAGGAATTATTTCGTTTCTAAAGAACAGTTATGTTTTTTATTCCCATTTTAATTTTTTGTTGTTGCTTTCAATTATTACTGTCTGATTGATGAAAAAGATACATTACTAATAGTTTTTTGAAGGAGCTTTGCAATTGCGAATAGTTAAAAATTTCGTTCAATGAGACGCTTTAAAACGAGTGAAGAAGAAGAGGATTCTTTGCAAGAATTAGAAAAAAACATTTTACATTTCTTATGATCCCAGAGCTTATAATGGTGATCATTTCATTTTGCATTAATTATTGTCGATCTCTTCTGCGAACATCAAATTTCAATAATTAATGTGTTATTGATTTTGTCGGATCATATTGAAGATTTTAATAATTTATATGATGGCGTTTTTATTCTTGGCATTCTAGTACAAATTCTTGGCATTTTTGGCATTCTTATACAATTCTCGTACAATTTAACAGTACAATAATATTCTGATGTAGAAGCATAAATCGTATACGTTATTAAAGCAGTAAAAATAGAGTATGGTCCAGCCCGGCAAATAAATTGTTGCGCTGCGCAGTAAAACGGTTATTATCGAACGCGCTCGTCTAGAGTTGAATTGTTGGTAATTTAAAAAAAAATGGTTCTGGTCACGATACTGCTTATCGCGCGTACATTTCTCCGGTGGAGCACGATTAACCTTGAGAAAGGTACTTCAATCTTGGAGAATATCAGCTTTTTATTCGTTGCATGAAAATCCCAGTTAATCTGCGGTCATCGGCGAATGCTTTCGTCGCAGTCTGTACATTAATCCAGCTCCGCGTAATTATTGATTGCTTACTGGCATGCGAGAGTCCAATAAATGTTGCCGTCTCCCGCACACACCTGTGCCTCCCCCACCTTTCGCACCGTGCGTTCGCTTATACGTATGTCTACCTATACCTACGCATACATGAATTGCCATCGAAATACGTGTTTATAGAAGCAAATTCGCCAACTGTTTATAAGGACGACGGAGAGTCGTCTCAATTATTACTCGAATTTAGTATCATCAATTCGAGCTCTTGCGACATTATTGCACCCAAGGTAACGTAAAGAGTAAAAAAATGACAGAATTAATTAGAAAGAAATAAAGTCGAGGAGAAAGGGGGAGAAGAGAGCGCGGGGGAAAAATTGTGCGAAGAGAAAAATTGGTCGATAGCTACTAGTTTTTATTACACGACCGGTCGATATGCCGGCCAATCGCCTCTAGCCGGTTTCGGCATCGTTATCGCGTAGGGGATCTCCTCTCTCGGCGGTTAGGCCAGCTACATTAATGAAATTTACTTCCTAAGAGAAAATTATAGCCGCACCGTCGCCGTCGTCATCGTCTTGCTAAACAAGCGAGAGGGACGGAGAAGGAGGATGGCGCGAAACAGCGCGAGCGATAAAGATAGCCGGACACGTAGAGAGAGAACGCAATAATTTCCACCCAATTACCGACGATCCTAACGGTTTGTTTGCTCACCCAAGACCCACCCGGCTTACGTTATAATCATCCCGGGATAATTGATATCCAATTTCGTCTCGTACGTCTCGATGTACCCGGGTATACCCCTTCGGCATATCCTGAGGTCGACTAACTTCGCGCTCTTGTAGATCGCGATATAGGCTCAATATCAATCGTGATGTTGATTCTTAAGGAAAAATAGTCACGCGTGTATTTTACGACAACATGCAAGATTTCTCTTAAAATATTAATACTAATTATATTTACTCATTTTTGTGTTTCTCATTTATATATCCTATGATGATCATATTCATGCGACTCGCATTATAAATATATGTGTGTTGCGTATATAAAATATTATTATAAGCATAAATTGAACTGTTTCTCGCGTGTATTTCTGCATTTAGAAACTATGGATTAATTTTTTTTTTTCGGTTAGATAGATATTTGTCACAGAATATCCTATAAAATTCGATCGTTTCTGATTATGCACTTTATAACAAGATAAGTTGGATAATAACGTAGGGCGATGAAGTGCAAACAGTGGTAATGTGTACGGAGATGTAAGTATATGTTTATGATATGCATTCCGTATTCACTTTATCTTCGGCGTGGGTTGCTTTGTCGTCGTGCAACTCGGTTAGCGAAACCGGTTATACCCCCATTGAAAGCATCGAGAGAACTTTATATATGATTAATCTTATTGCGACGGCTGCTGCATCTTGGGTACAGTTGCATATTAATTACCGCGAATATTGCAATTTATTTTAGGCGATTATATACGGATTGTTATCGAATCTCACATTTTTAGCTTATCACTTTTGTCGTCATAAATTCGGCATTAGAAGAGATGCAAAAGATACATATATAAACAATTTTATCCAATGATATGCTTAGATTTACTCAGAATAAGCTCTCTCGAGCATATTACAAAGTATATTAAACATTACTTTCGATACGCACTTGGTACCTTCGGATAATAGAAATTCCTTTAATTATAAATGGGTTCGTAGATAGGTTCGTGATTTATAATGCAATTTACGAAGTAGAGGAAGGCAAGATGTGAATAGTCGATTCGGTTGATGTTGTTAATTGGAAGCCTATAAAAATTATAGCACTTTCTTATTTCAGTAATTGTAAATTAGATTTCACATTGCAACTTTGCACTTTTTGAGTGATATTTTCTTTTTGTTTTTATTTTCTCCCTTTCTCCTTTTGATCTTCTTTTCTGCGCGATTCTTAGAAACTCGATAGAATATATTCATATTTCTTTTAACTTAAAAATTCAAATATATAAGATTATCCAATGTTAAAAATCTTAAGATTTAATGTTATTTATGTAGTACACGAGATAGCAATCGGATTCTTACATCACGAGAGCAGGATATACGATCATAAACTTAACATGAAGAACTGGTTAGCTACAGAAGTTGGCGCAAATTGTGCTTCTCGCACATATTATAAATCTTTCAGGATGAGATACATAGTAGAGATTTTCAAGGACTTAATTCATAACGCACGTACTTGTCATAATTATTCAGGTAACATAATACTGTAAAATAATAATTGTAGAATATAAATTTAATATTTTAAAATTTATATGTAGAATATAAATTGTAGATAATTACATTTGTTTGATTAGGATTAATAATACATTAAAGAACAATATTATTTTTGTAATAATTATGCACGAATCTTTATAATTAATGCATAGTATAAACATTTATGCGCGAAAGAGATAAGAAAATATCAACAGTTAACAGTTCCGTATGTCAGAAATTTAAAATACAATATCTATGATGAAGAAGCAGCAATCTAGCGTTTTGACAACCGGTAATATGATTGCACGTCGCGAGGGGAATGAGGGAGGGGGGCGAGTTCGATATAGTGGTTCCATCTCGTGTATGTGTGTGTGTGTGTGTGTGTGTGTGTGTATGTGTGTGCCTGAATGCTTCGAAGGAGTACGGTGCTCTTCAAATCGGAATGAAACCTCGAGCGTGGATCTATATTGAGGATCTACATCGGGTTGCATAACAATGCCGAGCGATGTTGCCTTCATGCATAAGTATCTATGCAAACCGAATAGCGATCCCGAAGAGGCACGACGCGCGGCGAGATAATATTTTCATATGAATACAAATGGCCCTCTTTCTCTCTTCTTCTGCGCCGCGGCGGTAAATAAGTCTGTCCTTCCACTCGCCTACTTGTACGTATCAGCAGAGTCGCGAATGCTTTTTCCCGTAACGGATGGCTCGACTGTTTCCTTTAAGGAGTTGCCCGTGGTAGTCATTTTATCTGCCGCGAAACGTTAAGAGGAAGTTTCTGCGGCAACGCGAATAATGTTCACGTTTTAATACTTAGCGGGTGGTGTTCGATATTTTTGGTTGATAGGTGATAGCAGACCGACAATATTGAATTGAGTAAGAATTTCTTTTTATATATATGCAAAATATATATTATACAAAATATTATATTGTATAAATTATCTACATGATGATCTTTTCTTGTGAGAAATCGAGATTATATTGAAATAATATGTTTGCAACATAATTATTAAAGCTCCAATAGCGTCACGAAAGTTTTAAAAATTGAAATAGATATTACTTTTTTTGATTAATGTTGCATGAATCTAACAAATTCTATCAACTTCGATTACATAGATATTTTTAATCCATTTACATGATTTCTTACATATTATGTATAAATAAAACGTTAAATGTTATGCTGTTAATTATTCTTATTGCTGAAATTATGCAAACTCTAATGATCGGATTGAATAGAAAAAGAAGAGAGAGAATTTAGTATATTTTATATACGATGTATCGTATATTTCCCTTCTTGCTCTTTTATACGTTCTCATTAATGGTCTTAGCCTTTGATAATAACAATATATATTCGTTGATTATAGGGATTGCATATTGTAAAAAAGTATTTGGTCGTTACCGCTCGAACATGTAATGGGCAAAATGCTAATCGCCTTTTGCAGCCGCCCGAGTCTCTGTAATTATTGATCATGATGTTTACAATAAGCAAATCATAGTAATGTTGTTGCAAGAAATATAAAATGCATAGACATTTATACTTACGGATATTCTAAATTCTACATAATTTTTTTTAACAAAATGCTATTTTACAAATGCTAAATTTGCATTAATAAAGTTCATATAATTTTAAAAGAGCTAGAAAAAATATATATATTTATAATTGCATCATGCTCGTATTAATTAATACACGAACTCGATTCTAGTGCTTATAGATTTAAAGAAAATATAGTAAATACTGTTCAAATAATTGCATAATTACAGGAAATTAAGATTTTTTTATATTTGAATATTATTTGAACACAACTTATATAAATTTATATATTAATAAATATATTATTTTATACATTTTATATATTAGAAAAAAGAATATTTGTAAAGTAGTTGAAAAATATATTTACAAGTAGAGAAAAAAGAGCAATAGCTTATATTTTCTTTCCATTTTCTAGGTACGTGATGAGACAGTGATTTTGTTTGCTGCAAAATAGCCGATCACAATCGCAGGAATGGCAGTAAGAAGTCGGAATGACGGTAGAGTAAGTTTTTATTCTTTTTTGGTACTTCATTTCTTGCACGTCGGCATACGAAGGTGAAAATTTCATTCGATGCTTTGCGGTCTATGTAGATAACGAAGGTAAGAGGCATCTCTTTCGTCTCTGGTAGACCCTAATGTTAGGTATACGAAGATACAAGTCAGCAATGATAATTTCGAGAAACCTGCAGTATGAGAGAGATGCTGCGGCAGGGGGGAGGGTGTAAATAAATATTCCCTAGCACGTATAACGAAATGTAAACGAAGATTGAAGCAAAGAGTACGAAGCATATCTGACGAGTAAACTCAGGGCGACTATGTGCAAATGTGTGCTAGGTGTTTAGGAGATTTTAATTAAATATATATGTCACGAATATATAAAGCTAAACGTGCGGATAGAAAATAATGTATATTGTTATATATTTTAATACCGTTAAAATATCTTCGAGTATTTTTTTCTTTCGTAACGTCAACAATTTTTGAATTAACTTATTATAGCTTATGCATTTAGCATTTTATTTAATTTGTTTTTCTCTCTCCTTTAAAAACATATCGAACATGTAAAAGTAATTATTGAGCGTGACAGATATTGCATGTATAAAAAATCTTCAGTATTGAAATTAATTAAAATTTCCTATTTATCGATTATTTTGCGTTCAGCTTTCGTATACTCTTTTTAAATCAGACGCAAATATATTGACGCGTATAAAAAGCATATTTCATTACCGTATATAATGCTAGTAGTAACGTAAGACCCATTAACGTGCGCACCGGCTGCGTTCTTCTCTACTTGTTCCTCGACAATGCCGCTATTCTGCTGCCAATTTCTTGCGCGTTTGGGGTAACCAGAAGACATTAGTGCACTGACTAATTGCTAGCAGGTATTTCCCGCATAGTTAGCCGAACATCTAAATGATTTGCGGAAATCGTAGACGCGATCGCTATTATTTGCGTGAATTCTTTTCGATGAATCGTGATACGATCCGTGGTATTCATGTATTAGACTTGCATATCTATTTATATAACCATTCATAAACTTTTTATAACTGAGCTCTTCATGAATTAAAATTGATATTTATAATAATATTTTACAATTTGCTTTCTTCTAAAATCAGATTCCTAAGATTTTTAGTCAGCATTATAAAATATTCTAGAACTATTTCTTATATCAATAAATTTTTTATTCAATTTTGCAATATATTTTTTCTTAATAAGATTTTTTGATAAAACTTTAATCGTCTTTTTTTCATTATTCTGCATGTTTAGCATAGCTTAATATTTTTGAATTAACTTTCTGTTGAATTAAATAAAAGTAACTTAATAATATGGATTTATTTGTATATTGGTAAATCGTCAGTTTTTTAATTTAGTCTTTGATATTAATAGTTAATAAAGAAAGAGTTAGTCTTAGAACGTTTTGCATATTTAAATGTTGACAAAGGCGTTCTTTAAATATTCCATTCTTACATTCATGAAAAGAGACAAAGCTTATTTTTAGCACACGTAAAACTGAAGTGTGATGTAAGCGCCATTGATAAGAGGATAAAAATTCCTTTGTGGAAAAGTTTCAAGTTAGTTGACTCGAATGTTTTCTCAAAGAATTAACGAGTAACATAATATTAAGACTCTCACAAAACATTGAGAGTGATCGGACGTTCTGTAAAAGTGACGTTAGACACAATACACATTTTTGTTGACAATATCGACGGATAAAACCGAGAGGCGACTTTGCAGGTCCTCTTGGCAGGCGCAAGAAAATCGAAGTAACAAGAGCGGCTTAAGTTCCATGAATTCTTTTATTAATCGGCATAGCGGGATTGGATCTAAAACCGCTCAAAGCCTCTTCTCTCTCCCACTAACTAAGAATTTCTCTCCCTCGTTCTTATTTTAAGAGGGTGAAAGCTAGAGAATCTTAAGATCAAACAAATATATTTCCGATCTTGCGTATATGATATGCATTCAATTTTCGATATTCAAAGTAATATATATACATAATGTTTTAAAATGTTTTTACTATTTTTATTTATATTTATCATACTATTTTATTTATATTAACCATACTTAAAATTTAATCGAATTTTTTTATTGACACAATCTGAAATTTCACATTTTTACAAAACATATATATGTGTAAGAAATAGTCTCACTTAAAATATTTTGCAATTAAGAATTCTTCAATTATTTAATAATTATTAAATTATTATATAATATTAAATTAAATTCTAAACTTGAAATCTGATTATTTTCCAATCTTATTATGTTATGTTTAATTAGTTATGTGGATATATATTGTTATTTTAAAATTCGACTTCGAATCTCTATGGATATACAACAAAATAGTGGTAAAATATTTCCACACACACATTGTTGCACTGAGAAAAAAAAGTTATTAACTTGACTAAATTCGTCCAACTAATTACTATTTCATTATATTTCTTTAATTGAAATATTTAAGTATTTAAATCAAATATACATCATGTTAAATTTAATATGTCGTATTTGACTTAAATACTTAAATATTTCAATTAAAGAAATACAAGAAATAATAATTAGTTGGACGAATTTAGTCGAGTTAACAACTTTTTTTTCTCAGTATGAATAAATTTTTTCTGTTATCCAAAATATTGTGTACCAGCGATTCGTGCTATGGTCTTAAGACTGATTTGAACGAATTAACGCTCATGTCTTCGTCAACTTCCCTGCAACGAGAAAATTTTCTGCATTCTTAGCGTATCCTCTTTTTCCGTTTCTCTTCGCATAAAAACCATACGGTCTGGCGAGCATGTCTGGTGGGCAGCGGACAGGCGCCAGCGTCCACCCTTTTACGCAGTCCCGGCTGATGTCCCGTAGTCTTGGCCCGTTCCACCCCCTTCCTTTTCTCCATGGTCGTTAGAGCGAAAACGTTCTCCATTAACGCCTCCTTTTTTCTCCTTTTGTCAGCTGGCAGACGCGTCCGCGCCAAAGCGATATTAAAAACTCCCGCGCGCTGCAATAAAGCTAACTGCTTCTCGCATGCATAGGTTCCAGTGCCGTTATGGGTTGCCATTTCCGTTCTTCTCTCTTGGATTCCTTAATTCAAATTGATTCGGTACGAGATTTCTAAGTTCCGGAACGTTGTCGAGAATTAGGGTCGATGACCGCGCCTCGATGCACGTTTAAGTTGCCTTTTAATTTGTTTTACGCTTGTAACGCAGTATTATAAATAATATAAAGAACCCCTTCATTTAATAAATATATATGTTATAATAAAAGAAAGAGCACGCGAGGAATAATCATGTCAATACAAATCGTCGTCTTTCGCAGACGATTTATTGTCGTTCGTCGAATCAGCATGCCCGCGTGCTCCGAGAAAGGAACATTCCATTGTCTGGTACATAAAGAGGAATCGAAGAAGAGGGATAGCGATGAAAGAAATTATTTTCCCCGGGCGAGAGAGAGGAAGGAGCGGAAGGAGAAGCGCGCGCGAGATGATAGAGAGAGAAAGAGAGTGGCGAAGTCGCGCCTCGAGGATGAAGATGAAGCGCGGAGGAGGACGCGAAGGTGAAGGAAAACGACGGATGAATGAAGAGGAGGCTACTTTTGCCCGAGACGGAAGAACCGCGTCGCGAAATGGAGTGCCGGATATAGAGTGACGGAAAGGCAAGAACTCTATTGCTTCGCTATAGTGAGAGGGGTGGTAGAAAAGGGGGAAGGAAGGACCTCAGCTGGCAATATTGGAGCTTTGATATCCAACCGGTACAAAGAGTTGTCGTCGACGTTTTGTGCGTAATGTAATTGCGTGGATAGGTACATACTTATCTACATAGGTGCATCGCGTCCGTCTCTTTACTTTTTTTTTTGCGCCGCCAGGACGCCAGTCGACGTGCTTTACGCGCCTAGCCCTATAAACGCGCTCGGCATAAGGGCTTTCGAAATAAAGGAAAATTCCTCCATCTGTCCTTCGGTGAATTGGCGTTACGAGCGAAAATTGCGCCTTTCGTCGATCCACGTGTCTCTCTTTGTTGCGCGCAACAAATAAAATGATACGCCCAAAAAAATACTCTTACGTGCTGTCTGGAATTTTAATGAAAAAGTGCTTGGAAAAAAGGGACTGTGAATTTTTAGAAAATGTCTCTCTTATTTCCCGTGACTTGCGGAGATTTGAATCTTGCACGATCACTCCTATATTAATCTAATTTATATCATCGGCGCGTGCACTTCATCATTTTATGATTTGAGAAAAATTTTCTGAAGAAACTTTCAAACACATTCTAATAAAGAGATGTAACTTACGGATAATAGGAAATATAATCATGCCGTCTTCTTTTCTCTATATTTTGAATACAATTATAAAGGCGACATTTAAAATCGAGTTTCCATTTGTCTCATCTCGAAATCGAACGTAGGCGAGTGTGTCTTTATATATATACCTATTACGGTAGATACCTATCCAATCACGCATCGAAAGCCTTATATATTTGTGTTGTAGATTGAGTCCCGTGTATTTAAATACATCGAAAGACATGGAAATGTATTTAGACGACAGCTCTTCTGAAAGGAAAATAATTTGACATATTTTAAAAAAGTTGGAATATCACTCAAACTTCTAAAGCCACCCTCCCTTCTCTCTCCCTCTCCCGCTCCGGCTTCCTCGCTCTCGGGGCTCAGCTGAAAGAAGGAGAGCATAGAGGATGCCGCGAGGGGGATGGCGTGGCTGCGCCATACTCGGGAGTGCGAAGTAATTTTAAAACGATTTTTACCGACAGAAGTTTACATTAATTGAAGGTTTACCAAAGCAAGTACGAACAAACTTTGTTCTTGCCATTTGCTGCTATCTGGCGCGCTGCTAAATATCATTGTATTGATAAGACGCTGTACGCGCGATTGAAAATATATTTTATTATTTAATTAATTAAGTAAAGAAATGACATTTTTATTTTATGGAAATACTTTATTATATAATATATTGTATATATTTACATAAAATTTATATAATTATAATTTTTTGGAACTGTAACTTTTCAG